TAAAGACTTGCCGGGCAGCCAATTGCGGACAATAAACTGTACACGGCTTCAAATGTAGACACTGCAGCCATCAACCACTTGTAAAGGCCGAGCTTATCCTTGATACTACTCTTCAATACTGCTACTATAATATAGATGTTAAGGCACACAGATATTGCAGCACAGACGCATGAATTTATATTTGCTGCTAAGCCAACAACGTCTATCTCATCGTCTTCGTCATCGTCCATACTAGATTCTGAAATCCTTTGATTGGCACAACAACATGAACAAGATGTCATAGCAAAAATTGTTTATCGGATACACCTAGCTTAAAGAAAGTGGGAGGAAGTAAGTGATAAAGTCTCCGAACATATCAATCAATCATAACAATTTTTTGAGCATTCTTCAAAGTGCACATGCAGGCAGACAGTGCATCTTTGTAAAAGTCTATTAGAAGCAATTGTTGAAAGGCGGTAGTCTTCATGTGTTTTATCTCCTTCAAAAACGACGTGGTCACATAACGCACTGTTCATGTAGAATGAGATAAGTTATAATATCATTGAGCATTTGTACCACTGGATCTATCCTGCTATAACAACGCACTAAAGCCGCCCGTTTTTTGTGTGTGTGCTGGTCTGGATCTTTCAGTCACGAGATTCGCAGAACGAATCTCACTAAGCTCGATTTTTGCACAACATTGTATGCCACCAGCACGTACGCCCGATGCGCCGAAGCACAAAGGGATTATGGGTCCTCCAGAAAGTGCGCACCATGCAGATCCACGTGACCTTTCGTATGCCAAACTGGATTCGTACTACGTTTTTTGATAAAGTAATGAACATGATGGACAAGCGAATGTGCAAGTCTTGACCAGCCAAGAAAATTGAGCAAAAATATTTTTATGTCAATTCGACGGCAAAAAGTAATAATTGCTCAAATGGACTTTGTCAGTACTTACTTAAGAATTCTAGAGATTTTTCGCTCAGAGATATAGCTCACACTAGCCATTGCCCTTATGGCGACTACCGCCCATAAGTTCAGTGACTATTTTGTATTTGCATTTTTTCATCGGCGGAAATTTTCTTTCTTTCAAAGTTACCGATCCTGCAGTACGGAGTACGGAATGAGTAGTTGTTTACAATCTTTGGTGATGGCCAGCATCGCATGGTGGGTTTCAAACCCATCATCATGAGCACGAAGCAGGCACATAAGTAACAGGACCGAGCAAGTTTCCGCGAAGTAAAGGTGACGCTCTGGTATCGTGTAAAACCAAACACGAAGTACTGCTGCTGATGCATTTTCTCATAAAAGTTAGTGTTCTTCTAAACACAATTTTCGATGCAGTAGAGAGTTGGATAGTAAGTCAAGCATCATGATAGTGACTTATAGTGCATGCCTCATCATTATAAAATCACTGCGTCACCTCTGCTTTGCAAAAGTTCGCGCGCTTCTTACTGTCTACACCTCCTTATCCTGCTCAAACCAAGTAATAACCGCTCCGAAACCACCGAATATGCTGACCGTTGCAAATAGATGTTGGTAACTCCGGAAAGGTTAAACCTCAGACACTGAGTAATACTCATATTTGATTCAGTTCTTGCATCAGTGATTGCTCATAGTATCCATAACAACAGCTCAGAACTGCATCCCTAGAAACTTTTTGATACCATAAACAAATATTTGAAAGATCATACGTTTATGCAGCAATCTCTTCGTGGTGCATTTGCGCAAGATAAATTTTAACTTCTTGTTTGAGATTCAGAGCGAGCAATTGTCGAGCCAAGCACAAAAAGATACGAATTCTTTCTAGCGTTAGAAGTCCTGTGTCTAATAAGCGAATTTTGGAAAACCATTTTACAAAACCGTTTCATTTCCATTTCATTTCATTTTTTCCTTTCGTCCACGTGCATGATGATCAACAGCTTTAATTCTACAAGAACACGGCACCTGCTCAGTGATATTAGGTTGTAAAGAAAGTTCTGTCAAACCTTCTCGTGATTACCAAAAATGAATGCGAAAACAGGGGGCTGGTCTAGGGTGAGTTCTGAGTGTGCGATGGCCCCAGCTACTGAATGCTTTATTCAGTTTGAAAAAATAGCGGTAAACTAGGAAGAAACA